TCCCTTTTTTTTTTTTTTTCGGATAGACATCTTTGTTGCAGAGATTGAAGGCTGTGCTTTCTGTACCGAGAAAAAAATTAGACAACATAGGAATTGCCTGGCAAAGCACAGGACTGAAATCTCTGCAGTGTCCCCATCAGACAGTGGGTTTATGGTCTCTGGTTCGAACTTTCTATACTACTGCTTTACCCTTCATTTCCACTCCCCTCTCCTTTAGGAAAGAGGAAAACAGCAGCAGATAAGGAGCACAGAGTGGAGCATTCCTGTCTGGTATACGCTGGGATGGGGAGAATTTCTATAATGTCAGTTCCCATCTCAAAACTCAGATTTGCCTGTCACTTAAGTTGCTGTTCTGGCTGCAGGGTATGAGTACATTATGATGATGTTTAAGATAGAAAATATTCTGATTACATTTTTTAAAAGATAGAACTGAAAATGAGATCATTAAACTGACACATTTCCATGGCTGCTTTCTTATTTTAGATGAAAGAGACATACATGACAGAGGAAAATCAGGAGACTCAAGACATGACTTATTGTGGAGTTTGTCTTATAAGTAAAAGAGGAGAAAAAAAAAATTGTTTCTTCAGGTTTCTCTGATAGGTTATGGAATCATAGAGTCATAGAATGGCTTGGGTTGGAAGGGACCCCAAGGATCATCAAGTTCCAATCCTCTGACATAGGCAGGGCCACAACATCCAGATCTGCTACTAGCCCAGGTTGCCCAAGGCCACATACAGCCTGGTCTTGAACACCTCCAGGGATGGATCACTCCATTTAAAACATCTGAATCTTTTGAGTTCAGATTCTCCAATTGCAAAAATAGCAAAAGGGTGACTGTAAGGAGGCCACTAATTGCTCTGGGATTAAAGTCCTGGAGGAAGCTGGCACCCAGCAGGGCACATTTCTGTCCTGCTGCTCTGTGCTACTGCACCTATGGGACATCAAACAGCAGTGAGAGTCTGAATGTGTGAAAAACCATTAGGCTTGAATAGGGAGTAGATACATAGTGAATCCATCTATTCAAATCAGACACGAGAGGCTTAGCTCCCACGAGTATCTGCCTTGAAGTGTGATGTAGTGCGGAGGAGTATTTATGGACTGTGTTTACAACATCTTCATGAATCAACTTCTAATTGCACCACCTTTGCCGATCGTGTTACCTTGTTCTGGGGTGGGAAAACATGTAGATGAGAGTGCAGTGACCTCTATAGTTCAAAGTGAAAGTTGCTGCAAGTTCAACATAGAGGTGCAGCGAGATGGGCTTAGAAGAGGGTCTGTGCGTAATGAAAATAATCCTATGGAAAAAAAGCATCATTTGTAGATATGAATGGCATAGGGATATGATTTGAAAATGTCTGAGCTTGTTGCCATGGTTCTCTGCATACCTATGCAAATGAATGGTGGTTGCTTTTTTTTTTTTTTTTTTTTTTTTGGACAGCATCCTTGTGATAGAGTAATCATCCAGAACACAAGAACCTCAGACACATCCTAACAAGAGAGAGTTGCTGCTTGGCCATCAATCTGCAGCATCTCACCCCAGCCTGTTTTACAACTGAAGTCACACCTCTAGTCTCTTTGAAGTTATTGCCACATGCTTCATCCTGCCCAAATAAATTTCTCCAGCATGACTCTAGGCTTTACCTGGAATTAGTCTGATGGAGCAAGGTGAGATTTGTCACCACACTGCATTTCACACAGGAAACAGAATTGCTGAGCAATGTCTGACCTCTGGTCCATTGGAGCCCAGTTTGGAACTGCGACCACAGGAGCTGCTGGGAGGAGGTGAGTGCCTCCCAGTGTTCTCCTCCTCCTTGTTCCGTGCAAGCAGGATGCCACCAGAGGATGACAGCTCTGCAAAACACAGCTATTAAAAACTGACAGCCTGGAACCCTATTGCTGTTCAACAAAGGGAAGTGCTGAAAGTGCCCAGAATCTACATCCATCTATGAGTAGGTTGGAATTGATGTGCAAGCCTGATATGGAAAATATTAGTTGAATTATGTGTGTAGGGAAGACTTAAGAATTATTCTCCTATTTGCTTTAACTGGGACTGCCAAGAATTTAGAGGTACTAATGGGCAAATCCAAGAATTCATAGCATTTTGGCAAGGACTTGCCACCCAGTTTAAGGCTCCTGTTGGCGATTCCAAGGAAAGTGTTACGTACTATTTTTAAACAATGGAAAACGTCATAAAACCAACATAAGGTATATAATTAAGTCAGAGCCTTGGGCAAGCATTGAGACAGGAAAGATCTTCAAAATCACTTGCATATGTAACTTTCTTTGCTGGCACGTAGCTAACACACATCGTAACCTCTCCTTTCCTGGAGGAAATTTCAAAGTTGGTTGTACGAGTTACAAAACATGTTTATTTAGCATAGAATACTGTTGTGCAAAAGGCACTCCATATGGTAACTCTTGTTAAAGGACCTGGTCACTTACCAGCTTGAGGTGCTGAAGGAACGCAGACATACAGCTGCCTACAAAGGTTGATACTCAACAAGAGTCGTATATAAATAAAGAATGGGGACCAAAAAAAGACAAATACACTGAGTTTTGATGCAGAAAAATTTAATGAGAGAATAAGCAGCAGAAGATGGACGGAAAACAAAAAATACAGGTGATACATTGTCAGGTTCTCATTAAAGACTGAAGACAAAGAATTGTTTTAAGGCTGTGCATTCCACACACATTACTCTTTAAGAGCAAGGGAAGATTTACACAATCCTGCCCAGCTTTCAACAAGTAAAGATCTTTGATATAACTAGGATGTTACTGTATGGAGTCACTGGAGAAAATAATCAGAGTACTAAACTAAATCATTAGCCTGACACCTGCATGCAAGTGTGGTATTGAGAGATGTACAATTCATGCCCCAGGAAAACCACACCACCACCAGAGTTTGCAGAAGTCCATCTTCCTCTGTGTTGGGTGATGGCTCCTTTTCCTTTATTCGTTGTGCATTTAACACGGTCTGCAGCTCCCAGCACCATAACCACCGTACCCATAGGAGGAAAAGGACCTCCCATATTTGTACAGGCCTCTAGAGCCATAGGAGCCCATGGAACCCTGAGAGCTCCCGTATCCAAACGAGCTCCCAATGCCGGCTGGTGCTGAGCTGCCCACGATGCTCTCCTGAGGGCAGGAGCTGAGGATGGGGCCTGGGAAGGTGATGACCACAGGTGGGGGGTAGACAACAGCACGGGAGTCCCCACAGGAGGTGACACAGGGCTGGCTGCAGGCATCAGCGTAGGGCTGTGGGCAGGTCACCTCGCAGGGCGGCAGGCAGCGGGAACTGATCATCTCTCTGTAGCAAGACATCGTCTAGGAATGGAGATGGATCTGAAACACAATGCCAGGGCAAGAAAAGGATGGAAGATCAGTATGTAGGAATGTCCTTGGTGGGTTCTGCATAGCCTGCGATTGTGGCTGCGACTACATAAGTCATTGCTTTTCCAGCTTTAAGGAAGAGGGAATTGAGGCTCAGAAACGAATGTTGCGCAGAGCCATTTAGTGAAGTAACAGGAGGGACAGGGGTAAATGTGGGCAAGCTTATTGTCAGAGATGGCATTATTCCCAAATCCTGTAGGCATTCCTTGCAGCTCCCTTCAAATTCTACTCTAAATTGTGGAAACTTAAAAAAATGAACTGAAGAACAGTAGCAAAGACCTGACTGTAACAACAACATAACACGATGCCTGACAGGTTTCCAGTTAACTCAGAAATAATTGCAAAGAATAAGACAAAACATTATGGCTGGAAGTATATTTCTTGCTCAGTTTTAGAGCCAGAGTTCATTTGTTATGGTAGTCAATGTATACAAAAGAAGGTAAATTCCTAAAGGAGGAATGGTCAAGCTGCAGGACACAGGAATTCACTACAT